AGCAGCAGCGGTAGCAGCAGCTGCAGCTGTAGTAGCAGCAGCAGTTGTAGCAGCAGTAAGGAGTGGTAGGGGCCGCAGTAGCAGTAGCAATGGCAGGGGCAGGGGTAATATTATTATTGGTATTAGTAGTGGTAGTACTAGTAGTAGTAGTAGTAGTAGTAGTAGTACTAGTAGTAGTAATAGTAATAGTAATAGTAATAGTAGTAGTCGCCGTAGTAGTAGTAGTAGTAGTAGGTAGTGGCAGTGGGATTAATACCACATAACTCCACATTTCCTCTGATGGCGGGTAGTTTCCCACAAAGCTGGCCCTACAACCAAATCTATGGCCTCTCGCCGGATTCTTGCTTGCAGGCTCCACCGCAGCAGCCGCAACAGGCCCACATGCTGAAGAATTTTGTGCTGCTGGAGCTGCCGAGCATTTGCGAGCACGCTCTCTGCATGTCGGATTGTTGCTTGCAGGCTCCACAGCAGCACCCGCAAAAGGCCCAGATACAGCCACATACCAATTACTGCGTGCTGCAGCTGCCGTACTTTCGCGATCTAGCTTCCGCATGTCAGGACAGAAGTTTGCAAAGAGGGCACCGGCGGCCCCCGCCGTCTCGGCCGCCACGATCCTCTCGGCCGACGCCACCCTCGCGCCCACCGCATGCCTCTCGCCGAGCCGCTTGCTACAAAAGCCTGAGTTCGCTGGATGGTTTTTGGGTTTGCATGCGCAGCACGCTGTGGATCTCCAGTTGCATATCGTTGATTGAATAGTTGTCGATGAAGCGTCAAAGATAGAGTGATGCCGTCATTGCTGGAAGGGGCACGGGCGAACGGCTCGGCCATCACCGCTCCTGCGGAATTCGCCGCGTGGACAGCAAAACGACACCAGCGCCTGCCACGCCCTTGGCAGCTCCGATGAACTCTCAAGGTGCAGCAATGTGCAGCATGCTGATACCACGACTTGGTTCCTGTGCGGCTGTATGCGGTGCCTCCGCCAGTTCTTGCTTCCACTGCAAAGCTCAACGTCGTTCCCAGAAACTTGTCTCCAAACCCGAATATCTACCGCCGGCTGGACCAAGTTGATCCGAAAGCCCGAAACCGAGCAACCCTTGGCCGCCAATGTGCGATGGCCGAGGACCGGTGACACAGAACAAGTAATGTAGCGAGGATTGACATCACTGGGGCAATCTTGCTCCGCCAAGGGACTCATTCGGCCAGCCCAACCAGAGAATGTGCCGTAGATGTTTCTTCACAGTGCAGGCCGAACAGGTCCATGCTGACTCTAGAACCTGAATCACCAAGTTTTGTGCGTCGGCCGTGCCATGCGCTCAAAACTTCACATCCCGTGCTCCAAGGTCCTTTACCACCCTTGGATGCCTCTTTTTCACCTGCGAAACGAACTGCGCTGGCTTCGCACCCAAGAAGTCGTTGCCTCGCAGATTGGGAGCAAGCATGGGCAAGCCTAGCCTAGCCTAAAGGGCCGCATGCTCGCATGCTGAGATGTTAACTGCCCATGAACAGCGACAGCCGGACCGAGGCGGGTCTACCTGGTTACGCTTCATGCTGGAACGCAGCTTTGAAGCAACCCGTGCCGACACACTCACATTGAATATGTCTTTCTGCTTGCGCCTTTGGAGCTCCCTTCCATATAAAACAGACAAGAGGCCTTGCAGGCCTTGACACGCTCTGCAAAGCTTCCCTTGCACTTAGGTGCATCCGGTTTACCCTGTGGGTTCGAAGATCCTGGCTGGGCCCTGCGGCAGAAAGAATGGATGATTTTTGGGTTGGGGCAGGACAATACTGGATGTGAGGTTGAAGTGGTTGGTGCTGCCTGTGTTGGTTCTGGACAACTGAGTGTATGTTGAGCATGTTGGCTTCGGGCAGACGCCGTTGGACAACTGAAGATTGCTTAGTTCGCTGAGGCAAACGTCTTACCGCATGTCGGGGAAGATCCTTCTCGTCCGACCAGCATCAACAAGGCGCCTGAGTAGCAAAGAGGAGCACGTAATACGACCTTTGGGGTTGAATCAACATTTGGCAAATGGATGCTGCAGGACGAGAGCGGACCTGTATACACAATCTATAGAGACGGAATCTACACCAGATATGGTTGACTGCAGCAACAACATTGAGGGCTTCTGCAGTGTCAGTGGAGAGCGTATTGACAAGTGTTGACTGTATGAGTAACAGCAACAATACACGGGTTTCCGGCCCCACAAGCTCAGCCTTGCGAGTGTCGACTTTGCGGTCGCTACTCACGCCCAGGGAGGGCATATTACAGATGCGGTGTGCCATACAGGTCTCCGGGAGGCACGGCATTTACGGGGAGGAAGCGCGAGTGCGCCGTCCGGAAACGCGCGAGTACTTTAGGGAAAGCATAATAAGGCAAGTATTGGGGGAAAGCATTCTGGCCGCACTCCCGAATCCTCGGGAATCCCGCCGGTATTTGGGGAAAAGCATTTCTCACTGCTGGAGGAAGAGCATTTCGATGGTCTCCTGCGTGGTTTTCTGGTGGCTTCTTCGTGGTCTCCTCGTCGTCTCCTGGTGTGGTGGTGGTGCTCTTTCACGGTTTGGGGATCGACGTTGACGAAATGTCCATTATTTACATATGGTCATGTACTTGTCTCATCTCTATGCTCATGTCTTGTGCTTTGACGCTTCGCCTCATCCTGCACACGCATCATTCCAACAGTCATGTCGCGCAGTGACGCCAGGTGGTTCGCGGAACATGTTGATTGTGCCAGACTCTGGTATGAAACCCAAAAGGTCCAGCCACATCTGCGTTTCAGAATTGGGGACCTCTCACTTGGGCCGAAGAACACAACACTTCAGGAAGCAGGAGCCTCATTGCTCCCTCTGGCTCGCCGGGGGGGTGGGGGCGGGGGGCGGGGAAGAAGCAATGCCCGCTTTCGAAAAGGTTGGTGGGTGCTGGCGGCTAAGGCCTAGGCCTTGAAATCCCGATTTAGGATTGAAGTTTCAAGATGTTGATATCTGAGAGCTTCTTGCTTCCTCATGCCCAGGACGGCCTCGTTGTGAAGACTCACAGCATATGCTATGGCTGCGGCTTGGACCAACCCGTGGTCTAGCAAAGACTTGTGTGGCGCCATTGATGGAGCAAAGGCTGGGCAGATGCTACGGTGGAGGACCGTCTCACCATCACTGGCCACACCAAGCTGACGATGGAGCGGGCGTCGCAATTTGTAGGACCACCCTGCAACATGCGACAAGCGGCTCAAAGCCCCTGCTATGTAATTGTCCAAGACCACCGGCGCGAGAAATATCCGGATTTCAGGACAAGAGTACGCAGAGCGCATCCAGTCCAAAGGCTGCTGCCGGGAGCTCAAGGTCGAAGTCTTTTCAACAGCGCAGCTCACGGCCACCAGGCGTCTCGCAGATTCACTTTCACCATGTCATTGTTGTTGCCAGATTTCTTTTAATCTCGCATACCTTCGCAAGTTTATGACATGAATGCATGTCTCTCCAATTTTCGGTGTATGCTCATGCATGCCAACTCTCAGTGTTGTGAATTGTTGTTTTGCCATACAGCCATACCCTAACCTCTGTCTTGTCATTGCCGGTGCCGGTGGTAACACCATTGTAAATGCTTCCACTCTTCTCTCAAAAGCTTCCTGGATTGGCAGAAAGTGCATGAAGGGCTTCCCAGAGCAAGGTCTCGTCTTCCCGCCCGGCACGCTTGAGTCAATGATCCGCGCGCTGTTCGGCTGCAACAGAAGAGGTGCATTGCCAGAGGTGGTTAGGCGAGAAGTGGCAGGGGAGCAAGAGGCGGAATGACCGACAGAAAGCACTCGACATTCGGCCTTGGCAAGACAGCTCCAGACATGAATTACGAAGTTCGGATCACCTTTCTGATTCCTCGCCCCTTTCCGAGGCGGAGCAGAGCCAGTGAGGATACGAAGGCTCGAGGTTTACCGCCCCAAGCCATGGCAGCACACTCCTTGCCCGCTGTTAGCACTTCAGATCCTCACAGAAGTAGTACAGCCAGGCGGCTCTTCACATACCCTGCGAGCACACGCAGCCAAGAAGAATTTGGAGGGGCCTTAATCTAGTCGATCCGAGGGCCGGCGACATCTGCACAGTCGCATGACAGCGCTTGTGTGGAAGGTATGACCAGGCGATCATCTTGCACAGAGATCCCTTGGACGTGTTCAGGCACCGCGTTTCAGCTTCAGGTTTCAATGCTGATGGTTCTGTGCTGTCTATGCTGAAACAGAGCCCTGGGCTCTGTGTGTGACCTGCGAAGGTCTAACTACCACTACCGGACGAAGGCTGATTTTCTATGTCGCATGTAGGTGGCACGGCCGCTCGGGAGGACTTCATGGTTTTGGGACTCGCGATTGTGCCTACTCCACAAGCAGTCTATGCCATGTAGAATCGACGAGCATGGATTGTACTTCTGCGGGTCAGCTATCGCTGTAGGGAGTTGCTCGCTCGTGCAGGTCCTGCGTGCTAGGCACGGAGCCTCCTGGGCAAGGGAGAACTACAGTTTTCCACAGGAGCACATGCCGGTTACATGTAGCTGCATCAGTGGAGCGGAGCGGATTTACACCGGTACTTGTTTGAGGGGATGCAGCGCCAAACCACTCGTTGCAGGAGAGAGCTCGGGCATACAAGCTCCTTGGATAGACAGTTGGTTTGCATGTAGGGAGACATGCCGAAGAGTTCATACGGGCAGCCATACCGAGTTCATGAGTTTTGCACCCATGTCACCCTGGAGTGGAAAACCGCAGGGAGTTCCACGAGAAGTGGAAGACCTTCGCGTCTTTGTCAGCACGTGGTAGGGATGAGCACAGAATCTTCGCCTCAAGCTGTCCCGTTGCTCGCAACTGCGGCAAGGCTGAGAGGCGCCCAGCTTGCACCTCAGGGCTCTGCGACAGCTTTTGGTAGGCACTGCTCAGTGCTCCGTGTGTGTTTTTTCTGGATGCTTCACCTTATTGCAGGCACTGTTCGTTCGCTATGAAGACATGAAGGCCGACCCAGTGCAGCAGTTGCCGAGGGCTCAGAGACAGAGTTCAGGCGTGCAAGTTTAATCGGAAGTCCGAGCGTCCTGCGGCTCGCTTGGCTCCGGCAAACTCCGGCTAAGGAAGCGCATCTTCGACTTCCTGGGTGTAGAGGCTGGGTTCCATCTATTTTAATATCTATTTATCTATTTAAATCCCCTCACCAACACCGGCAAGCTATTCCAAAGCAGCACAAGCACGAGGTGCCAGCAAGCAAGCTGGCTTGTGCAGTGGAACAGTCCACCATGGACAAGCTCAAGGAGGATCCCGAGTTGAATTTTTCTGGCGCAGAAATCCGGTGGTCGTGGCTATGTGTCAGGAGACTTCCAAAACCCGCGGCAGGGTGAAGTCCCAGGACTTCTTCGGCTCACGTGGTTCCACAGAAGCTCAGGACACCTGGGTTCTTTCTGTGATGCTGATTATCTGCAGGGGCATCGAGGCAGTTATGAATACACTGCATCAGCAGGCTCGCATCGCTCGAGGGCGGCACTGACGCGTAGACAGCTTGCTGCATGGGGTCTGTCCTGCGACCGACCCGTCTGAGGAGGATCTTTCCTATCCGCTTCATGGCTGCACGAAGCAACAGCTGTCGTAGCGACATTCCCACAGCTCGTGCGAGCGGCAAGCAGATGTCGCACCGGATTTCATTTACCTCTGAGCCGACACCGCGGCAGCGCAATGCTTGGGAGAAGTCGCTGGATTTTTTTTATGGCTCACCTGAAGCTTACTATTCAATTTCGCACAATCGAGGACGGCTCTGCTCGATCATTTCCAGAAAGATGGTGTTTTCGAGCTTGCCAGATCACTGGGATATTCGAAGCCGCTGGACAGAGTCAGATCAGATTTGTTTCGGGTTTTGCAGTAGTCACAATTTTGCAGTAGTCACAACTGACACTTTTAGCCCTACGTTTATATGTGAGGAAAGCTGTGACCAGAACAGGGTCGTCAATCGACCGGGATAGACAGGTTACACCCGGGTCGTGGGCTTTGTAGGTGCTCAACTTCTGTGAGGTATACATCGGTCGAAGCTGTCAGTCACTCCGCTGCTGCGGATGCCACAGCGACCACAGCTAGCGAGAGGAAAGCAGCTGGCTGCAATCTGTGGGTGGCATACCCTTTTCATAAGATTCCTGTATCTCTTTTTGCCGTTGGTCCATCTCTCAAGCGTTGTTGTGCTGCCGCAGTGCCTGCCACGCTGCAGGCACAACTCCCACTCACGACCAGTGAGACAGGCAGCTACTACGAGCTCGTGGAGCCTCGCCAGGAAAGTCGGGATGGCGTGATCGTGCCCTTTGTTTGGATGTGCTGTTCGGATCTTGTGCGGCCCGGCCAGAGCTCTCCGCACAGCTGCACCCGAAGCAGGCAAGACGTCGATGTCTGTGCTAGTCAGCTTGCAGTGGCCTTTCTGTCGACAGTATTCGACAGTGTAAAGGCTCACCGCTCGACGTGTCTGCGAGCCTGCGAATGCTTGGCCATGTATCCACGCATTCATGTTTGCATGTGCGTATGTATCGACGCATGCATGTCACGTGTGCATGCATGTATGTAGGTCGGTATTATTAGTGTGATTGTGCATGTTTATGTAAAAAACTGTATGTATGCACATCTATGTATCTGTGTGTTTACAAGTTGCATGTTTGTCCGTCTCCGGCTGAAGATGCTTGACGTCAGGGCCCGTTTCGACAGCAGTTTCACCTGGAAACTTGGCTCTTCAGACTGCCACCGGCAACTGCTCTGCCTTCTCATGTCGCGGCAGTTATGTAGCGAGTCTAAGTTTGAAACTGGCTGTCGAGCTCACTAGTCACAAGTCTGACCACTTGCACGGCTGTTCTGACACTGTTTTGTGCGATGTTTTGATGGCACCGATGCACACCACTTCTACCATGCAGTGTCATGTCATGGCTCACGGACGTCAAGGACCAAGCTTCGCAGGAGCTTGTTCTGCTGGGAGACACGGACTTTGCCGTGTACGTGGGGTGCCACGGTTGAAGTCTACAGCTGTGCTGTGAAACGCGCATAGGTCCCAGATTGTGTTCCGGCTTGGACCAGGTGCGCGGCGATCGCGGCCCTCGCAGCATTTACCTGGCGCCTTTGCCGTCGGCGTGCCATGAAGTGGGAGCGCAGCGCTTGACCGGCGAGGTCTTGCAGCGCACAGTGCCTCCGACACTGAGGAGGGATCCCGGCTCCAACGCCGAGCGTTTTCCACGCCAGGAGAAAGCAAAGTCTGGAAGAACCTGGCGCAAGTCGTAGCATCACGCCCGTCTGGATGTGCGAGTGCCGAGCTGCAGCAGGTTAACAACAACAAGTGGCAATCCACATAAGGCATGATTGTCCACGGTCTCCACGTTAATTGCTAATGAGATGATGGCTCATGTTTGGAGCATCATGACCCAATTGTGCGAGGCACCCAGTCTGGGCAATTAGATCGACGACACCATACCAACCACGACACTGTCATGATCTGTCATGTGCTGTCTATCTGACGGCATGTTGTCAGGGTTTTGTTGCAGCACTCCTAGACAATCTGCAAGCATCCGATGGCCGGCCGCCGCATCATCATCTATGTCGCAGATGCTGCCCGGCGAGCTTGACCAAGATGCGCTGGTTGCGTCGCCCTTCTGCATAGGTCCACACTGCAGGCCAACGCACTCCGAGAGTGGATGCCGAGGCATTCGCCTCGGAGATGCCCGTCGAAGGGCCGCTTCACGCCAAACCAGGAACGCAGGGAGGATGGCTTCTGGCTTTACTGGTTTTCGAGACATCGTGAGACCAATTTGAGACTAGAACTGCTGTCTCGAAGGAGCCGGCGCCTGGGCCTGCATGCGACTTGGCACTTTAGGGACTCAAAGCTGCTTCCCCCGCCCCCCTTCCCACCCCTCGCCAAGCTGCTGCAAGGTTATTCTCCGAAGGTGCTGCCCCACAAGACAAAGCCAGGATGGAGCTTCGGCAGTGCTGGCCGCGCGACTTGGCCTGGGCAGTGCCAGAAATACAGCCTTCCGAGCAGCACTCCATGCCACAAGGACTGGGCAGGTATCCGTCACCTTTGGCCTGAGATCCCGGCGGCGTCCAGCGCGGCACCTGGCCAGTACCCTGCCCAGGCGCGGGTGGTCATTGCAAAGCCGATGCAGAGCATCTCCAAGCGCATCTTGCGTTAGCAAAAGCTCCAACTTCACCTCTGTGCAGGTCCGTCAGAAGCGCCAGATCTCGTTTCCGCAGTCGGCACGCAAAGTGCACGAGACCAGTTCGAAATACATCCACTCGTCGGAGTTCTGTGTTGGTCAACGGCTACTGTAGGGAAGAGCTGGCTCAGTCAGCGGGTCACAGAGCTGGGACAAAATAAAACGAGAGTGTGAGTTTAGCCTTCCGAGCTTCAGGATATTCCAGACACGCCTGGGCCGGGGCAGTGGTCCGTTGATGGGGATGTGGGAAGGCCCTACCATCCTATGCATCTTGGAGCAATTGGAGGACCTTCTTGAGCAACAGCGGCTACAAACAGTGGCAATGGCAACTTGAAAAATCTCGTTGATTCTAGGGAAGGGAAGCACAGGGGACTCTCGCACACGTTTTGCTTCTTGGCCCAGCATCGGTTGAATCGGATACCCGCAGTTCCCTATAGGCAAAACACATTTGGACAAACCGGGGATGGGAACTGCTTCGATGCTCCATTGAAGCCTGCATCTCATACTCTCTTCTTGCATACGAGATGGAAAGTACTATCTTGCTGAAAACTTGCATTCCTTTTGGATGCCATCCAGATGAACACCCAAGCGCAGTGCTGCACTTGAGGTATTCAATGGCCCGCAAGCAGGACCTGCTGGTGACAAGGGCATGCATCTGATTGGAGAATCCGAGCGGGCGGAGATTAGGAGCCATGGCTTGAAATTGAACTTCCAACACCTCCAGGCTTGGACTTGGGGGGAGAAAATTTCCACTGCCGACTTGGATTGTTGCAGGGAGCACCTCCTTGCCTGTGCGTGCGGCCACTGCGCCATCACCAGCATTCGGACAGAGGTGCGAAGAGTACATCCACAGGCTTGAAACGTGGCTTTCACGCCAGCCTGCGAACCACTTGCAACAGTTTGGTGTTTTGGTGTCACATTTGGTGTCACACTTGGCGTCACACCAAACGCAAAACATCCTATGCGGTTTTTCCAAAGGGGCTCGTGCTTGATGTTCGTGGGATTTTTCCGTTCTGCTTGCCAGTTCTGCACGGTAGTCATGTCGATGACAGCAGCAGCTAGCAGCAGCATCGACAGCTTGAATAGCATGCTGTGACCCTGGTTGAACAAGAGCTCTTCCGTTTAAGCATTGTGCCAGGAGGTCGAAGACACCTACAAAGCCGCATACTGTGAGAAGGCACAGCTTTCTGGCGTATCTTTTTTGCATCCTCCTGTGTTTGGTGGGGTTGTTTGCTCCGGGCAATGAGGTTTTCATGAAGGCATACGAGCTGAACATGTAGTAGTGAGTGAAGTTGGACGTGGTATGACGTTTGTCGTTACATGCCTGAGGCATGAACTAACCTAGCTGCCAGATTCATCGCGGACTGGTGTGTGATTGTTGCTTTCGGGTGAGAAGGGAATGCATCCGAGCATTTGGACAAGTGCCACGTCCGCGATCTTGGAGACACCGCTCTCTTGTCTTGAGTCTGTCATGCCTATAGTCATCTGTAGTCCGGGGTGGCCTCTCGCGTGAGATCTACGTATCTTTAGTCTTGCGAGACATCGACGTATGTCGGTGGTGAGACATTTCGGACGCATTTGCCTCGGTGAAATTCGAAAACCCTGCACCCAGCACAAAGCCACGATCGTTTTCATGAGCAGAAGACCTCTCATGACTGCGAGACTCAGCGAGGCCTCCGTTTCCGGAGCGACCGTCCCCTGGCCCTGGTGAGTACGACGTGAGCAGAAACCTCGGGAAGGCGAATTCAAGTCAAGAGACGAGTGATACGAGTGATACTGGTAGCACGTGGCTGTGGGCATGGCGATGAATGGTGGCAGATGTTCGTGTTGAAAATATATGGTGCAACTAGAAGAATCGTGCGACTCTCCTTTGTTGCAGCAAGTGTGAAGAGCATTTGGAGTGGTTGCAGGCGCCCGCCTTCTCTGTGGAACAGCGTCGAAGGTCTCTAAGCGTGGGCCGCCACACGCCCCTTGGTGCTAGCCCGTATTATGGCAGGCATTTGTAGCGCAGGATTAAGTTGTAACAACCTTCCACCTTTAATTAAGCAAAGCACTTTCCGGGAAATACGCTCAGTATCATCATCCCTTTTTGAAGCATATGTTGAATTAATGGGGTTCAGGAGCAAGAGAAAGAGCAGGAGCAGCAGCAAGAGCAGGAGTAGGGGCAAGAGCAGGAACAACAGCAAGGGCAGGAGCAGGAGCAAGAACAGGAGCAAATGCCCCCGAAGTGACAGCAGAGTTCTATGGGAACGGGGGCCCCGTTTACAATTAGGGGGCAGGGATCAGCTGCAAACGTCGAACTCCGCATCTAAAGGTAGTTGTGGAAATCTGTTTACCTGTGAAATGCTGTGAAGCCCAGCAAGATGTCAGCAGCCGGAGAGGCCCTGCCATACCTATCGGCCACCCTTCGATGCCCGCGGCGGCTCTGGACCGCAGATTCTCGACGAAAATCCAGATAGGGGGCGTGCTCTGGCCCGACTCCTTGACATGCTTGGGCCCCAATCAGCAAAAAGGCAAATGATCCGAGAGGCACATCCCACACGGCAGAATCATGATCCTAACAACCCTGGCGACATGCATGTTTTTGATTTGCTCCTGCTTCCGTTGCTCTAGACTCCCTCCTCTAGGTTTAACCCATGGCCCAGAATCCACGCATGGAGAGCGGGTGGCATGGGAGGTGGTGCGTAAACCTTCTTCCAACAGCCTGTAAAGAAATGCGCGAGAACCCTTACATAAAAACTATAAGTACTGGGATTCGGCCCTTCCGACAAGAAGCCCACACGTAAGTTTTTCCGTTGGCGTATCAAGCCTGTGCTTTTCAAGGTGCCCTGCCCACACACAGTTCAGCCGAGCCTGGACACCGACATCAAGCTGTAGAGCTTGGCGTTAACGCCGAGCTATGCAAAAGTTATTTAATGTAGGGCCCCCTGGTCGAGGTGCGCTTAGCCAGTCTGAATCTGATGCTATCTTTTTCCGCACCTTCATTTTCAGCAAATGCTGATGCCATCAATGCCGGAGAACCTGTGCCGGCCGACTGAAGGCTGGAACTTAAAAATTCTTCGCATGCGCATGGCATAGAGGCATGCCCCACATGCCTTTGGTGGGGTGACCACGGACCAAAGCTGCGAGATCAGAGCCAAGCTCTGAATCACGCAGTGACAAGCCCTCTCCCTGATGTGCGGGCAGCGAAAGTGCTGCGAAATTCTTCGGTGGTCCAAAGACGCTGCTATTGCTGCAAGCTTCAGATCAGATTCTGTAGAAGCTGCATCGATACATAGCTACATGGTTCCATGCTGCAGAAGTGACTGTGTTGCTGCAACGCTTTGTGAAGAGCTTTGACATGAGCATGAGACTCTGCTGGCGCCTCATCGGATTCTGTGGCGATCAAGAGTTGCAAATTGGACACCAGTATATTGGGCCCCAAATCCCTATTCTAATTATTCAGGCCCTATATTATTTCGCAAGCAACATTGGACACCATGTGAAAGGAGCTTCCTTTTCCTGTAGTTGGAGCCATGTCTGAATTTGGCCTAGGGAGGACAGACGAGACAGGAGCTGCTCATGTTTGCTGTTTTGCTGTTTTGCTTGCTGTGTTTATGCTGGTCGGCCTTGTCATCGTCATATCCCGTTTGCAGCATCACAGCAGTCGCTATGTAGCAGTAGAGTTTCAGAAGCGGTGGTGGTGACATGTGGTGACGCTAGTGCTGGTCGTGGTTGTGGGTCGTGCCTTTTTAATGCAGTTCTCGTCGGTCGCGGCCTCGTCGAAAGACTAAGGTTTTCTCCCGATGACTGCAGGACGCCCAGTGCTGTCAATTCTTTCTATTGGAGTGTGGAGCTGTAAGGCAACCGGTTTCAAGCCGGATTCCAGGATTGTCCAGGATCTCTCACCGAAGCCGGAAGACAGGGTTTGTCTTGGTGAACGGATTGGCAGTTGTTTGCACAGCCGAGCCATCGAGTTTGGAATGTCTCGCCTGCTACTGCTGCTACCGCCTCTACTACTGCTACCGCCACCACTACTACTACTACCACCACCACCACTACTACAAATACTACTACTGCTACTGCTACTACTACTACTACTACTACTACCACTACCACTACCACTACCACTACCACTACGACTACCACTACGACTACTACTACTACTACGACGACGACGACGACTACTACTACTAACACGACTACGACTACGACTACGACTACGACTACGACTACGACTACGACTACGACTACGACTACGACTACGACTA